GAAGTTGTAAAAAAGAGGATGGCTTCTGCAGTGGAACAGGTTAAATTATTCTCTTCCCGGTTCAAGATCAGTACTGTAGGGGTAGAAGGTGCTTGTACATGGGTCCTGAGAATTGGGATGTTTCTGGCCCAGGATAACCCCTTCAGAGATGCTTGTCAGGTCCCAGTAGGGGCGTAGCTCTGCCATGAACATCCATCCATGCTGTCACTTGGGCACACTGCGGGGTGAGGCAGAGGCCAGGGGATGCATGAGCTCCCAGGTGTGGGCCTGGCCGCCCTTGCCCTGTGTGCTTATTTAGGAGCTGAGGCTGGTTTGTGTCCTGCTGATGTTTCACTTGTATCAGGCACGTCTGAACTGTGAGATTCACCCTTAACGACTGCAGCCTGAGAGCCATGGCAAGGAAGGACTGAATACCCCCTGGCACACCGGTCCGGATACAGAACGGCTGTGAGAACGCAAATGCTCTGATTTCCCTCAGTCTCCTTGTGGTGCTGGAGGTGGGCAGTTGCCCCCGACCTTGATTCTGCCTGATCTGTCCAGACCACAGAAGCAAGGCTAAGCCCGTTGCCAGGTGCATCCATGTACATAAGCCAAGTGAGCAATAGCCATGGGCCGAGACCTCCCAGATTCCTACATGTCACCCAGCAGGTCATGGTGACCTGCAGATGACAGTCCCTAGGATATCTTGTGCCCTGTCCCACTGAGCCACCCACTCCTACCCAGCTACGTCCCTCAGCTTCGCACACGGCATTTCCTGGGCGGCTTGAGCAGACGTAGGTATGCTGAGCGGTGCTGCAGACGGGTAGGACCGCAGAGGCAAGTGGTGGGATGTGTTGCCTCATGTCCCTGACAGATGGCAAATGTATTGTCCTTTAACACAGCCGTTAGTCGCAGAGTCCAGCCCTGCTGTTTCGACACTGACTCAGGCATGAAGACACATCTCCAAGGTGACTCTGTGCTTGGGAGCAAGGATGTATCGCGTAAATTTGCTTACATTCAAGGACGCATGCTCTTTTCCTGTTTTTTGGGTCTCGAGAAAGTTTTCCCAAGCGGGGCTTGCTGATGTTTTTACCCTTGTGAAAATAACCTCACCACCCTGAGGTCCCAGCGCGTGGCTCCACCGACGGTGGGTCGTGCTGGTGTAATGAAGAGCACTGTGCCTAAAGGGAGGTCTTATATGTGGTCTGTCAGCACAGGCTGAGGTTGGACGTTACGTTGAATCCTGTGTTGCTGCAGGCAGCTGCAGTCCCCTCCCGCGCCTCCTCGCCCCTGCCTGTTCATGCCCTCAAAGAGGGAGTCGCTTCAGTGGCTCAATCCAGCAGGAAAACCATCCATCAGGAAAAAAAAAAACCCAAACCTGAAATAATTACTGCTTTGGATCGACCAGCCGGACAGGCAGCTGACAGTTCTCTAATTGTGGGGAAGGGAACAAGACTCGGGCAGACCCGGAGCGGGGAGGACGTCCCTCTCAAAGCCAGCCTGCAGCTATCATAGATTAAAGGCGGTGTCAACCCATCCTTCCCCAGACGTGCCATGGGGTTGTGTGTGCGCCTGTATTTTTCCACTCTCAACCTGACCGTGAATGCCTGCATAATGGGGATACATTATAGTACCAGCTGCAGTTTTATTTAGAAGGGAGTAATGAATATTTTGTTCCAACAGGCTTTTTAAATGAACAGGGACCATCTGGTTAAAAGTTTTGCTCTCAGCCATGTCATGATTCCCCAAAATTACAATCGAGCACCTCTCTGCCCTGGTCATGCCAAGCGGATTTATTTTTAGGTCTGGCTTGAACAGGCTCACAGTTTTCAAAGACCATTAGAATCCAACTCTCGTTATTAGCAGGCGCCCTGGAAGCGGGGACTCGCTTTTGCCTGGAATCAGTAAAACTTCTCGCTGGTGCTAACAAAGCTGAGGCAGATACTAATGAGGGTTTGAGGGCAGACGCTGCCTCAGACAACACTGATCCTTGAAAAGCACAGGGCTGGCTGCAGAAGCAATTGTGCTGCTCTTAAAAAAAAAAAATAAAATAAAATAAAGCTGTCGCTTCTCTTTTATTAGGTATACATCCCCAGAGAGTCATTTTAAAGCTCCAAAGTACCGTTTTCTCTGCCATTGGATACTCTCTGATACTTTGGGGAACGGTTTCTGTTTTCTGCTGTCAAGCTGTTTGACTGCATTGATTTTTTGTATTACAGCAGCAACAGGTCACGGATGAGGCTGAGGGTTTTTTTTCCAGGTGCCTACACACACAACACACAGATGTAATCTTACCTTCCCCAAAGAGAGTTACGGGAGTTCAAACAGAGGGAGAATTTAGCCTGCTCCATGGTGATGTTTTAAAGCTGCAGGCTGGCTCCTAACCTGATTGCTGGGTCCTGAGGTAACTGGATTGCGTGCTGGAAATCAGCATGAATCCAGTTTGCCCCAGAGGCTACCCAGTCTCTGTCCATTTTGTTGGGATAGGTGAATTGGGTGTGTGTAGCTACATACCAAGACCAAAAGTTTCCTAGTGAATTCCAGTTTCAGCCCTGGTTTTACTGGAAGTGACAGCCACCCCCACAGGCTGAAGGGGCGTTTCCAGTAGGAGAATTCAACAATGTGTTGATTTTCTGTCTTCTGCAGCATGGACAAGGACAGCCAGGATGTTCACCAGGTGCTGAATGAGCTGAAGAACAAGTTCCAGGAGATGAGGAAGCTGATCAGCTCCATGCCCGGCATCGGTGTGAGCCCAGAGCAGCAGCAGCAGCAGCTGCAGAACCTGCGGGAGCAGGTCCGGACCAAAAATGAACTGCTGCAGAAGTACAAGAGCCTTTGCATGTTTGAAATCCCCAAGGAGTAGGAAGGGCACAGCTCTGCTCTCTGGGTCCGAGATACCTCCTCTTCTGGCTGAACAGGAGAGAAAAAGGTGGCAGAAGTTTACTTTTCTTTCTTCTAAGCCTTTTTTGGTCACATTGCTCTGAAGTTGTCTCTGTGTGGATCACAGGCGTGTGACACTGAACCAGAACACTGTGTGCTTCACATATGATGATTGCAGCGGTACGTTCACTTTGATCTGCTGTAGGACCGTGCATTTGTATATGCATCTCTTCTGTTTTCTCTTGGGGTGGGGTGGCGGGGTTTTTTTTACATTCAAGCAAGCAGGAGACATTATGTTTTCTCCTCACTAAGGGTCAAAGTACCTGCTGGTTAACTTCAACAAGAAAAAGAGGGCATTTTCTGCAATTTTTTTCACGTCTGAACTGACACAAGTGGCCAGACGTCGAAAGGGAGCATGAGAGGGAAGCGTGAGCTGTTTGGCCCTGCTCCTGGAAAGGGTCTCTGGGGCGCTTTCCAGTCTGTGTGTGTTGAAAGAGGAATGATTGCTTTCAATAACTTTTGTATTTCTCTCTCTCTCTTTTTAAACAGTGATGGTTGTGTCCAAGATGAGTAAAGATTTAGAAATTCCAAACTGCCCCTCTTGTGTAATCACTGAGTGGATGTGGGCTGAGCAGGGGCAGGACTTTGGCAGGAGAGAGGACGTGCGTAGCCTGGGCCCAGCTCCTGTCTCTTTACATCACTTTTTTGGAAGCAGGGTGACGGGAGAGCAAAGCAGGGGCTGCCGGGGGAGTGGATTTTGGTCGGCTTTGGGTGCGTAAATCTCCTTGGGTGAGTGCAGCTTGTAGGCAGTATGCTGGGCATCTTGCTCTTAAAACAGAGGGAGGGCAAACGGAATCAAAACAAAGGCATAAATGACAGCTTTTAGTTATTCCATGCGTGACAGAAGTCAGGCCCAACAGGACGGGTCAGTTCCACATCCAAAGTGCTCCAGGGGCTTTTTACAAACACAGGCATTTGAGCGGCTTGACCATTTGCCAGCGACTGATGGAAAGCTCTCAAATGTTGTATTGCATTCAGGTGGATCTCGAGGTTCCCTGCCCTCTGTCCTCCCGCTGGTAGCTCTTACAGTAGCAGACGACGACCTGGTAAGCAGCACCACATCTCTCCCGACTAACACAGATGTGATGGGACCTTAAATTTCATGGTTCTCTGAATTATGCTGAAAGGTGGTGCCGGTCAGTAGTGGAAGAGGCGAAAAAACATCTAGTGAAATAGAGTATCTGCTGAGAACCAGGGTCCGAAGGCAGGTAGCACTCGTGCCTTCAAAAGAAAAGAAGTGAGCTCTGTTTGGGGTAGGGTTTTCCTTTCCTGAAGCAAAAGGCGAGTAATTCTGCTCGTTGGGAGCTGGGATAGTTACGACACACCTGAACCCTAGACATTACTCTGTCCCCACTGGAATACTTTACCAGTACTTTCTTTGGGAAGGTGCCAGTGTGTAAACTCTGAGTAAAGCAGAACACCAAGATAAACAAAGCACAATGTACCCTCTTTTTATTACCGAAATTACCTTTCTGCCAGCCATCGCCTGTCCCAGCTCAATAAATTCTTGTGTTTCATGCCTGGATGCTGGCTTCCCTTTTTTTGCCAGTTGCTGTTCCTGTGAAATCAGGGCATACGTGGAGTTGGAAGAAATGTGTTTCCAAAGAAATGCCTGGCACTTAACACAGGAACAAGTTGACTCTGTCAACTTGAATCCAAGTTTCAAACGAAACTGAAGCAGTTTGGTTTGCGGTGTCGCTCACCCACCTTAGTTTTGTGGCTTTGATAGAATTTTTTTGCCATTAATATGTATGAAACGTAGATTTGTTCTGCTGCTTGGGGGTGGGGAACGGGGGCTGAAAATGAACCCAAGCAAGCTGGAGCCGGGGAGAGCTGTTCTTTGAAGAGCTTTGCCCTTTCCCTTTCGCTTCCAGCAGTGGTTACTGTGACTTGTTATTAGGAAGGGATTAAAAAACATCAGATGCAAAGGTAACCTTTCGAGCAAAGTACTTCCTTTACTCGTATTGCAAAATAAAAACAATATCCCGGACGGGGCGCAAATGAATCACTCTCTGTTGACATCATTAAAGTGTGCTTGGTTGATGGGGAAAAAGCATGAAACACAATCAGCTCTTTATAACGAAGTGATGTCAGTCAGTCTGCTCGGTTTCTGCAGCCAGCGGTGTGCCAATGCCCGGCGTGTCATGGGGCTGGCAGGATCGTAACTCGGCGCTGGTGAAGTGAGGAAAGAGTCCTGGCGCCGTGACCCGTTTGAGTAACTCTGTGCATGGCCCCTCATTACCCCCTGTGGCAAGAAACCGGCTGCTTGCAGCGACGGAAACCTTTGCACTGGGAGTCGGGGAAAATGGGGTGGTAAAGGGATTGAGTTGAGAGGCCGTTTTTAGCACCTCGGAGCTGGGCTTGGGTCTCGGTTTAACAGGATTTGGTTTTGCTACAGGGCTGGGTGAGAAAGCAAAAGCAAACCCACAGGTGTCATTTTAAAAAGATTTTATTTGTTTGTAGAAAAAATAAAACATCAAGTTTCACCCACAGTAGAAACACTTGAAGATTTTTTGTTCGTGTCGATGACAACCAATACCTACATAAAGTGCCTATTATTTTCTTATTTAAAAAACCCTTCCCGCTCCCCCCACCCCCTCAAATCTTGCAAATCAGACAAGACAAATGTAAACAAGAGTCAGTTTTTTGGTCCATCGGGGCTGTAACTCTGCAATGCCTTTGCAACAGCTTAGGAGTGTCTTCTGCACGTGGTTTGCAGTCACAGATGAACACACGACACAGAGCCAGAGTCCGTGCACAGCTTCTCAAGTTAAAAAAAAAAAAAAAACCAAACCAAAACAACAAAACACCAACCCCAAAGCCCCAAGCAGGCGCTGGTGAACCTCTGCCCTCCCTCCTGAAGGCAGCGCTTGAGGCTGGGTGGTTTGGGAGGGAAAGAAACACCAAGGTCTGTGCCCTCCATGCTCATCCTCCCACCTGGCCGCCCGGCAGCTCACCCGTTCCCCGTCTTCTCTGCCCGCAGGAGGCTGCTACACCCCCCTCCTGCCCTCCAGAGCCTCCCCCTTCACATCCCTCGCTCCCAAAATGCACCCCCGAGGGAGGGAGCTGATGAAAGCGATCCCTTGGGAGGAGGGAGGCTGGGGAAGAGGCGACCCCCTTTCCACCTGGGTGGGCGCCCACCCACCCTCCTGCCTGCCGAAAGTCAATTTGGAAACGAGCCTCTTTCCCCTCTCCCTTCCTTCCTTCCTTCCTTCTTTCCTTCCTTCCTTCGCTCGGAACAGCAAGAGCGTGAATGGGGGCTCCTAGCTGATAACACAGCGGTCCTTCTCCTTGCCATGCCCACCACCAATGGCTTTCTCCCGGATGTACATGAGGTCGCTGTGGACGCTGGGTCGCCGGGCGAAGGGGGCCACGATGCCGTACGCCTCCTCCGTGCTGCCCCGGCCCCCCTCTTTCAGCAGCTTTTTGCCTTTCAGCGCCTTCTTATGCAGGATGTCGCAGTACTGGACCGAGACCTTGCGGTGCAGGTCGGGGCTCATCTCGCTGGGCAGCTTGGCCATAGCGAAGAGTGCCTGGAACATCTGGTCCAGGCTGCTGTTCTTCTTGGCCGAGATCTCGAAGTAGGCACATTTTTTGGGGTCTCCTCCCACCAGCTGCTCGATCTCCCGGGGCTGCACCTCCCGGTAAAAGTCCCGGTCGCCCTTGTTGCCGCAGATGACCAGGGGCACCTCTATGTTCTCCTTTGTTTTGTTCTTCAGGCATGACTTGGTCTCCAGGATTTGCTGCTTCAGGCGCTGCACCTCCTCAAAGGAGTCCCGGTTGTCCAGGCTGAAGACGAGGATGAACACGTCTCCTGGGGACAAAGAGGGCACGTGAGATGGCTGCAGGGACGGGGACACACACAGAGACCCACTGCCCAAGCCGTACAGAGACCTGGGGAGGGAAGGACTAGGCAGAACCTGGGTCCCACATCCTCCCATCCACCCCGTGCAGGGTGCAAAGTTGCCCACACAAAATCCATCCTCCCGGGACTGGAGAACCATCCCCAAACTGGGCAAGAAAGCCTGAAATCTGGCAAGGAACCCCCCCTTCCTCCTGGTGCTCCCCAGCCAAGTACCTGTGAGGATGGAGAGGCGGCGCATGGCTGGGAAGGGGTGGTTGCCTGATGTGTCCAGGATGTCGAGCTGGTAGACCTCACCGCGGATGCTGTAGAACTTGCGGTGGAAGTCCTCGATGGTGGGCGTGTATTGCTCCTCGAAGCGGCCGGTGAGGAAGCGCGAGACGATGGCCGTCTTGCCCACCTTGGAGGAGCCCAGGATGACCATGCGGTAGCAGTTCTTGGCGGGGATGCTCAGCTCGGCCTCGCTGGGACACATCTTCTTGATCATCGCTGCCAGTTTCATTGAAGCCGGCGAAGGGGCAGCTTGCACCGAGAGGAAGGAGGAGGAGGAGGAGGAGGAGGAGGATTTCTCTAGTGATGTGTCTGGGAGGTCGGGGCAGCCCGGCCCAGCATGGCACCTGGGGATGAACAGCATCTCCCACCCTCAGACCATCACCAGCTTCCAAAACCAGGATGGGGCTCAGGCAGTCACTAAGCAACTAAGCTCCCCAGCAGTGCTGCCTAGCAGCTTGCGCGGCACAAAAGCAGCAATAAACCCGAGCAGGTGCCCTGCTTTCTGCGCCGTCAGCTCATTACCAGC